GATTGAAACTGCTGACCTTGCAGTTAGCAGCCCAACTTGGAGCCCACCACACTAGTAGACCACTTTTCCTACAAGCTACTACGGTGATTTTAGAGACAAAAGATTCTTAGGGAGTTTTTAGATTTTGGAGTAACTCTCCTTGTCCCCTCAGCCCCCTTAACTTGTGATTGTGCTGTATTTATATTCATCTTTCCTGGTTTTGACTTGTTAGAAGTTTTGACTTTTCTCCCATTTCATGACCACCCCCGGCCCCCCAGTACCGGGTCGCTATGAGTTGGCTTTGAACAGCAACCACAGTGATCGGGAGGTGTCCCTGGGTGATGCAAATGGTTAACATTCTTGGCTACTAACTGAAAGGTCAGAGCTTGGAGTTCACCCTGAGGCCCCTCAGAAGAAAGACCCAGTGATCCATTTCTGAAAAGTCAGCCATTGAAAACTCTGTGGAGCACAGGTTTATTCTGGCACACATGGGGTGCCCATAAGTCAGATTCACTTGCACAGCAACTGGCTAGAGATTGTGAACTGTTAGTAGTTGACACTTTTTAAAGGTATAGGTCATAGGACCCCAAACTAAATGGACAAACAGGGAACTTATTGGCTCACAAAGCTGAAAAATCCAGGCAGTGTGCAGCAACCCGTGTGTCAGGGTCAAACTACATCTTCAGGAATCGGTCTCCATCTTTGTCTGGGCCCTGCTTTCCTGTGTTGTCTTTTTTTTATATGAGAACTTCTTCCCTCATGGTGGCAAGATGGCCCCCAGAGCTGGATCTTACATCCTACCAGTTTAGGAATCCTTCCCTTCTGTGCGCCTACGTTTTTCCAGCAAAAATGGGAAAGATTTTCATGGGTTAGGTAGGTGCATAGCCAAGTTGAGTCAGTATTCTCAATGGCCAGGCCAGAATCACATGACCATCCTTGGAATTCTGGGTTTTATTAGCCCCCCAGGAAGCAAGAGAGATTTTTCAGGCAAGCTCTGTGTAGGTCACATGACTGACCATCCCTGACCCAATCCCTGTAGCTAGAGTAATTTCAGTGTTCTGATTGGCTGGATTTGGATCACATGGCCACTTTTCGGACTCTAAATTTTATTAAGCCTTTAGGAATCTCAGGACCTTAGAGTGGGGTTTGAGGTGCTGCCAAAGCGGAGTGGGTGGGATTTGTGGTTGTTGGGCAGGTAAAACCAAAGCTCAGCATCATAGAAGCTGGGAACAAAAGTCCGTCACTGTTGGTTTGCAGCCATTTGCCATAATCTGTTTCCACTTAATTTCATTATTATTTTGTTTTCTTCTCTACTGACTTTCCCTCATCTGTTTAGAATCACACAAGTAATACAAAACTACATTATTTTGGTGAAAGATCTAACTAACCCAAAGTCGTCAGTAAAATTAATGTCTCCCTTCAACCAGCCTCCTAATTCCGCACCCCAAAGGGAACCCCAGTTTTTATTTATTTATTTTGTCCTTCTCGACCTCTTACTATACATAAATACATGTGTATTTATCTGTAGGGATTTAAAAATTTTTGTTTTTCATGTGATTTTTTTTTACGGTATGCTTTTTTGTTTTGTTTTTGTTGTGAAGTGAGTAATAGTTTACATGGGAGAACATCGGTTTTACACTCATTGTTTCATTGCAATGATTACAATCCCCTCCATGCATCATCATTCATCAATATTTGCTTCTATTCCCTCTGTTTTTTGTTTTGTTTTGTTTTGTTTTTCGGGAGTAGGGGGTTGTACACAGAAACACTCAGGAATATATAATAATTTAAACAACCAAAGAGCACATTCTGCAAGCCTGCCTCTTGGCCACACAGCACTCAGCCTTTCTCTTTCCATGAGTCTAGAGTCCTCAACTGCTCTGTCTCTCCATGTCATCATCTCTGCCTCCATATCTGGTGTCGCTGCTTCTCTAGTTAGGGTCCCGCATTCCACTTATGCTCTTCTCCCTTGATGGTCCTAGGGTCTTCTGTTCCTGGATTGCAAGATTAACTACTCCCCACTTTTTGTTACAAAACTTCTCCCTTTACAGTTGTGACAGTCGCAATTAGTCATGATAACAATTACTTACTATTGAATCACAAGAATTTTTCCCCCATCTCCTTTCACCAGACCCATCTAGACAAGATGAAAAACATTCAGTGGGGATTTCAGCTTCCCCTACACACGCTGAAACTAAATTCACTCTTAAAAACTTGTAAGCCAGTCACTTTGTGCCCGTATAACCCCCTCATTTTAGGTAGCCAATGTCTAAATTGCCCTTCCCTATCAAACCTGTATACAGAGGGGAATAGGATTAATACTTGATGTGAAGACTCCTTCCCTCTCACTTGGTATTTTGAGCTATTACATCCATAAGTATAGGTCAAGTTCACCAAATTGTAGCAATTTACACGTTTCCTTTATCAAAACATTTTTTTTTATCTTCCTCTAGTCAAGTTCTGATCATCAAGCCATCAAAGCTAGGTCGAATGGTACTATCTACAAGTTTGGGTGTTCTTGTGCATTTTCATGTGATTTTTAAATAAATAATTTTCATGGCTCAGACATCAGAAAGTATACAAAAAATCCTAAGCAAAAAATCTCTTTCATCTCAATGTTCTCCATTCATTAATTCAGAGCTCCCCCAGCAGTAGGTGTTGTAATTGTTAAGTGCCATCGAGTGGGTTCCAACTCATAGCAACCCTGTATAGGGTTTCTGGGGAGCAGTTGGTGGGTTTGAACTACCAACCTTGTGGTTTGTAGCCCAATAATGATCATACAGTGCCACACCAGGAGTCCAATATATCCTACCTGTTAATTCATTTATTATTTACTTCAATCAAATAACCTACTCCTCATCAACTATCTCATTATCTGACATTTTGCATTTACAACAATAGTCAAAAATCTACTAATTGATGATTTTGCAAATTAATGACAAGTCTGGCAGTAACAAACACCGAGGTATGAGGTGAGAATAAGTTGGCTGTGGTGGTTAAGGTTATGTGTCAACCTGACTGGGTTATGATTCTCAGTGGCTTGGCAGTTCTGTAATGATGCACTTTGGCAGTTCTGTAATGATGTGGTCATCCTCTGTTTTGCGATCGGATGCTGCCATCTTCCATTTACCCTTATAATGCCAGTTTTCACACAGTGACCTGGTCTTTGGAATCTGGCTGTTAGTAAGTGAGGAGTGGGTGTGCAGATAATATATTTAAACATAGAATCTGAGTAGCCTTTTCCTCTTAACAGTAAATCTTGGCCAGTATTTCATACTGTTGTGGATTTGTTTAACTTTTTTCCATGATTGGTGGGCAATGAGGGCTGTCCCCAGCATCTTCCCATTACAAAGTTTGCTACAATAAACATATTTGGACAGACATCTCTGTGCATATGTGCCAGTATTTCTTAAAGATGTATTCCTCGAAGTGGAAGCAAAAGTACTGGGTTAAAAAAATCTGCACATTTTATATTTTGATGGAACCTGCCAACTTGTCTTCCAAAAATTCTCTACCGATTTACACCAGCAACCACAGTGGCTGAATATGTCCAACTCCCAGCATCTTTGCCAACACTAGATAGTCTTTTAAATGTTTGCGAATCTGATGTATAGTAAAAGACTAGCTTGCTTTGATTTGCATTTCCTTGCTGTTTAGCATGACTGGGAACCTTCCATACTTGTTTTTCTTCTGTGTGGTACCTATTCACATCGGGTGCCCATTTCTCTCTTGGGTAGTCTTTTTCCTTGTTGATGGCATTCACTCATCTTTGAATCATGTGCCAGACACTTGGGAATACAGCAGCAAATGTGATACAGCCCTTGATCTCAAGGAGTTAATGGGAGAAAACCAATCAAAAGCTCATGAGTAAAGACAGAGTTGCATGATGGGGGCAAATGCTGTGAAATCAAAGGAAGCAGACTAAATGGGGAATTATCAGATTGCTAAGAAACTAGTTCCTTGTTCTGATATATATCATAAATGTTGCTGTTGTTGTTAAGTACCACTGTGTCCGTTCTGACTCATAACAACCCTGTTTTAGGGTTTCCAAAGCTGTAAATCTTTATGGGAGCAGAAAGCCTTATCTTTCTCCTGGATCACATATAAGAGGACCTTCAAAAAGCTTATGGAAAAATGGAATTAAAAGTCAGTGGAATTTATCTACACACTATTTGAAGCCCCCTTCTCCTTCATAATTTTCCAGTTTGTCATTTGCCTTTTCTCTCCACCATGAAATTTTGGTTGATGAAAAAGCAATTTTATTTTTATGGGATCAAATTGATAATCTTTCACTTTGTGGTTATGTTTGGAAAGATTTTCTCCATCCCAAGATCATAAAAATACTCACCCAGGGTTTCCTTTAGTGCCTTATGGATTTGCTTATTCTATTGAAGTTGATAATCCATCTGGAATTGTTTTCCATGTGCAGAGAGAATGAGATCCAGCCAACTGGTTAGCCAGTTGGACAACAATCCATCTTTTCCTCAGGGGTTTGAAATGGTACCTATAAAATATATGAATTCTCATGTATATTTAATAGGTCTACTTTTGCGCTTTGTTTCTAGCTCTATGGCACATCGACCATTTCAATCACTGTAGCTTTTTTTTATTTTAACATCTGAATAGCTTGGTCTAGTTACTTAACCTCCTTGAATCTTGGTTTCCTCGTTTGTAAAACAGGGATGGTAACACCTACCTTGAAGGGTGCTTAAAAATGAATGGATTCTTTTAGTTTAGGGGGCCAGGTAAGCTGCTTTGAAAAGGTAGTATCCGAACTGCAAGCTGATTGACAAGGAAGAATGTGCCAGACAGAAGGACCCGCATGTGGAAAGATCCTAAAACCGGCAGTAGCTAAGTGTGTTGCTGGACCAATAAGGAGGCCAGCGCTCTTGAGGGGACGGAGCAAGGATGGAGTGGAATGCTGAGATTCTGAGGAGACTGTCACCAGAAAGGTACTGGAGAGCCACAGAAGTCTAGGGAGGGAGGGTGGAGCCTGCTAATGCTGCCTCTGTCCTTAACAGTCGATGGAGTCCCAGATGGAGGAGTGGTACCGCGAGGTGGGAGAGTTGCAGGCGCAGACCGCCGCCCTGCCGCTGGAACCCGCAAGCAAAGAGTTAGTGGGCGAACGGCAGAACGCAGTGGGCGAGCGCCTAGTGCGCCTGCTCCAGCCTTTGCAGGAGCGCCGCCGCCTGCTCCTCGCTTCCAAGGAGCTACACCAGGTGGCGCACGACCTGGACGATGAACTAGTGAGGACCGGCGAGGATCCGGGGCGGGTCCAGGATCACCGAGAGGGCGGCGAGAGACGGGCGGGGACGGGGAGTGGCGGGGGACGGGAGTGGCGGGGCCTAAGAGGCTGGGGACCAGGAGGAAGGTCGATGCCAGGGAGTTATAAATGGCTGATAGGTCCCCCTACTGATATGTTGGTAGAATCATTCATTCAGATCTTCATTTATTGATGCACTCTTTCACTTATGCATCCATTCACAGTATCTGTCATTCCCTCAATCATTTTCACTCATTGACTTAGTTTGTGAAGTCACTCATTTGTTTGTTTGCCATTCATCCATCATTCACCTATTACATACCCTTTCTTGAATGATGCTGGGTCACAGGAATGGCCACAACAGCCTCTTCCTGCCCATAGAGGGCCCAGAATCCAAAGGGAAAAAAAGACTGATCCCCAGACAGGGTAGGGCTGTGTTGAGGAAGGCTAGCCAGCTGTGGGAGCCCAAGGAGGCACGGGCCAAGGCTGGAGGTTGGGGACAGCTCTTGGAGGAAAGCTACCTGAACTGAAACCTACAGGAAAAGTATGAGGGAGCCAGGTTGAGGGAGTTGGAAGTGTAAACAGCATGTGCCAAGGTTACAGGTTAGCAGGAGAGAACAAGACTGAGTAGGTAAAGGGGCTGAGGAAGTGACCAGCCCCAGACACTGGATGCTGTACAAAGGGATTAACTTTCGGTGCAGAAGTCCTTAGGGGCATTTTCCCTGACTTGTCCCTGTGTCTTCTCCAGGCCTGGGTCCAGGATCGGCTGCCAGTGGCCATGCAGACAGAACGAGGTAATGGCTTACAAGCTGTTCAGCAGCACATGAAGAAGAACCAGGTGAGCAGGGTCTGGGGACGAGGGAGTAGGCTAGGATGCATTGGGATACGAGTGAGAAAACACAGCCCCAAATGGTTGAAGCAAAAAAAAAAAAGGTGGGGTGTGTGTGTGTGTGTGTAATGATATTATTGGTTCTTGTCACTGAAACAAAGTTGTACGTGTACAGTCGGTACAAGTACATCAGAGTGGTGGTGTTGTCAAGTGCCCCCGAATCAGTTCTAACTCACTGTTCTTGTTAATGCCATCCATCTGGTTCCGACTCATAGCAACCCCATGTACAACAGAACCAGATACTGCCCAATCTTGTGCCATCCTCACAATTGTTAGTCTTGAGCTCAGTGCTACTGCCACTGTGCCAATCCTTCTTGAGGGGGGGTGTCTTCCTCTTTTTCCGCTGATCCTCCACTTTACCAAGCATGATGTTCTTCTCCAGGGACTGGTTCCACGTGATAATATGTCCACTGTTTGTCCTGTGATCCTAACACGTCTAAGGAACACTCTGTCTGTACTTCTTCCAAGACAGATTTGTTTGTTCTTCTGGCAGTCCAGAAGACTCCTGGTACTTTTAATATTTTCCTCCAGCACCATAACTCAAATGCATCGATTCTTCTACAGTCTTCCTTATTCATTGCCCAACTTTCACATGCATAAGACGTTATGGAAAATACCATGGCTTGGGTCAGGCGCACCTTAGTCCTCAAACTGCTGCCATCTTTGCTCTTCAGCACTGTAAAGAGATCTTATGCAGCAGATTTGCTTAAGGCAATACATCGTTTGATTTCTGACTTATAGAGACCCTATATAGGATTTCCAAGAAGCAGCTGGTGGGTTTGAACTGCCGACCTTGTGGTTAGCAGTCCAGTACTTATCTTGCAGCACCATACCAGGCCCCTGATATTGTCCCACATCTCTTAGCTGTTTTTCTTTTTTTTTTTTTAATATTTACAGTGCATGATTTCTTTTTTTTTTTTAATTTAAGGTTTTTATTGTGGATTGAGTGAAAGTTTACAGGGCACATCATCAGTTTCACATTCAACAATTC